TATATACAGGTGCACACGCATACACACACATGCTAACACTCCACCTGACTCGAGCTTTGTCTAAATCTAGTGAATTTGAATGTGGCTTCATAAGGGGACTGTTGGTGGAGGCATGAGCTGAGTGAGAGTATGAGCGAAGTAGAAAAGCTGCAGTATATGAATGTATAATTACTCTGGTGATTATTATCAGTGAGCTCTCACCTTTGCACCAGGGGTTAAAGAGCAGGTGGAATCCAATGTTCTTAGTCTTCTTCACAAAGTGTCCATCCGGTGACTTGATCAACACAGTCAGGTGGTACTCGCCAATGATGGCGTCCGCTGGACTGTGTAGAGTCAGCAGAATTTCATCCTGCACTTTCTGATGGTTAAACCACCACTTGCCTCCAGCCTCAGGCTCATTGTGCACCTTGATCACCACCTCATCTTTCTTACCTGGAGGAGACATGAGGAAACATCATGTCATTTATGAAACAGATTGTTGAAGCATCAGTTCAGCTTCTTATTAGCAGGCTCCTCGTGGACGTCCGGATCCCGGGCATGCTGGGAAAATCCTAGATCTGAACCAGGAGGTGGTTCCTTCAAAACACTGTTGAAATCAGCGTCATGTCTACAATTTAATTCTCAATGTGATAGAAGAAATTACATTTTGAAGTTATGAATTAGATGGAGGATTCAGGACAATCTCATGATGGTCTTTAATTTTAAGGGAACTGTTAAGTTTCAACTACTTAAAATGATTTCTACTGAAACTGATGGACCCTGGGGAAAAAAATCTGTAAGTATGTTTTATGACAAATGAATTATTTATTAGACCATTTCATGTTTTGTTCCATGTTTCTGCTACAAGAAGCAAACATCGTTATGTAGGATTGTTATGTGTTCCACAAAGTGCCACTTATGTTTTCATTGTACTAACTTCTGTCAAAAGCTTTGTAAATGACTTATGATCAACTCACAATGTCGAACTTTACATAAGACGTACAGTGATGCATCAGATCATGTCCACAACATTGACCACAACATTATGTTACAGCAGGGGTCACCAACACGGTGCCCGCGGGCACCAGGTAGCCCCCAAGGACCACATGAGTCGCCCGCAGGCGGTGAGCTGCGTCTAAAATTTGATATGCGTTTTAAATTAAATGTAATTATTTACTGTTTATACTGTCAAAGTTCTATTCTCATATTGAAGTTGACTATTGACTATGATTTGTTAAAAGTGTTGGTCAGTGGTTCGTGAAAATGGAACATTTTTCTTATGAAATGTTGTCGAAGTGATCATCTGAAAATTTAAACAATTGCTGAGATTAATAGAAATAAAGTGTTGAATATTGATATCATCTGTTTCCCACCTTGTTAAGTCATTGTTGATAATTATTGTGAGAAATCATTAACGTGATCAGTGTCTTCACATAGATGAGTATCATTTATCATTAATAATAATATATAGCTCTTCGTATGACTCAGTACCCATGAAGTAGCTCTCAGTTTCAAAAGGGTTGGTGACCCCTGTGTTACAGATTGTGTAAAAATATATTGACCCCAACATGATGTTACCGGTTGTGTTGCACTCACCGAGGTGCAGGGACAGTTCCAGATGGTGATTCCGGGTCAGCGAGTCGCAGCACTGCAGAGATATGGAGAAGGGTTGACCCCTGCGGACGATCAAGCGCTCCCGATCAATCTCCCTGGTGCGGTGAGCCAAGTTGTTTTCATGACTTCTCACATCCACATCAGTGATCGGAACTAACAGGACCAACAGAGACAAAGCTCAACTGTGGACGTGCAGGACTGTAGCTGTTGCTTAATAAAATACTGAAAGTCAATGGAAGAGTTTTCCTTTTATGCGGATAAATATCAACAATAGGGAAAATTCTGAGTTGGATTAAACTTAAACCTGCTTTTTATAGATTAGTCTGAACCATGTCAGAGCTAAAAAGCTGTTCTTGCTTTTGCTGCAGGAATTAGGATGTGTCATATCTCAGGCAAGTGTTAAGTCATATAATACATCAGCACATTTTTCCCATGGAGCATTAACTCCAATAAAGTTTTTAATATGGAGCACAGACAAAGGATAGATAAATAGATAAATAGATGGATAGATGGACGGATCACTTACTGTTCTGATTGTCCATCGCAGACCTTTTTCCTCGTCTTCTCGAAGTTGCTCCTCCAAACTCTTCTCTTCGTGCTCGGTCAGTCGTGTATTTATATGCGGCTCAGGTCCGACCCTCCCGCCCCTCTGACACACACTCACCCCCAAAATTCTCCCTCAGTCTGAAACGCCTCTTCTCTGTGCCCTCTGACATCACTTACCAAAACCCTGCTTGTGTGTGCGTTTGCAATGTTTGCAATGTGTGAGTGTCCCTGTCAGCGACACTGCAGCCTTTGAAGAGTCATATTTCTACTTTATCAGACTCTTTCTCAAGCAGACATGATATTTGACTGATCCTTGTGCAACACCTCTTCTGGATTATTCTGTTTACGTGCATTAATGATAATGTTTTCTCGGCCTTGGGTTTATCAAAGTGCAGCTGCCAGATAAATCACGTAAGCATGGTTATATCTGCCCTGCTTCCCTTCATTGTCTGCCTGCACATTTAGAATTTATTTAAAAACATATCTGGTGACCTTCCAGGCCCTGCAGGTTATTTTTTTGTCTTTGATTTTAGATTTAGTATTATTTTATTTTCTGTCTTTGAATTGAAAGGACATTGTGTTATTTGGCTTGTTTCTTCGATGTCTCGTTTGCCTGTTTTTATTTGTCCTCCGTGTGAAGCACTCACTTACGACTGTTTTGAAAGGTGCTCTGTGAATAAAGTTAATATTGGTCAAAAAACAACATGATGAATGATGACCTCATCACTTACGTGTTTTTGAAGAGACAGATTTCACTTCATTTATTATATTTCATATTTAAACCAGAATGTCCCTCAGAGACAGCCTCCGTATGAAAATGTATAAATAAATACATTTACTCGGTCAAGATTTTTATCTGGATCTGAAACAAATCGTACTCACACATAAATATCAAGTCCCCTAATCATATCTGATAAGATCCATGAATTAGGAAAATGTTGAAGACTGTCTTGTGATGTTAAATAAAATAAAATTCTATCCCCTGATTTGGATCTGTGCCAAATTTCTATGGGTTCTCTCATGTACAATAACTCACTCTTCCACAGAATTTCATGGTTATACATCCAGAGGTTTCACTGTAATCTCATAAACAGACCTCCACAGAGAGAACCCCCCCCCCACCTGTAAATATAAAGTCTTTAAATATAAAGAGCCCATTCTGTGGTAGAGAAAACAACAATTCATACAATTTAGATGAAACACACCAGTGAAAACATCACTAGGATTATTTTATATTCAATTTCTGCCAAAAATCCATTTCACCTAAATCTTCCACACTGAACCTTTAAGGGGAATGTTGGGCGTCAGGTTTTACACAAATGTTTACATTGTGCAACATATTCACAGGAACTGCTCTTGCAATAAAAAGAATCATACAAACATCAGTTTTCGTTGTACTCAGTTCTACAGTTTTTGTGTAATCCTGCAAACTAAAAAACGAGCAATACGTAAACGTGAGCTCCTTGGTTGAAGAAATGTGTGTCTGGACTTTTACTCATGTATCCTCAGAAAAGGCGAGAGTGAATTGTTACGTTAAGTTGACCTGTGAGTCACTAAGGAAAGTGATGATTGGAGTTGATTAGGAAATTCAGCTGGTCTTTCACATCTTTATTCCTGAGAAGGTTCAGATTTTGCAACAGCAACCCTTCAAAGTTCACCTTGAAATAATTAATAATAATAATGATAATAATAATTCATGAAACAAACAAGAGAAAGAAGATGTGCACATGTTTGTTTTAAGTGACAGTGTGTATTTGCGTTGTGAAGCCTCATGTATGTACAAGCAGGTGATAGAAACAGTGCATTGAGTGCATTGTGTTACTGTATAGTTTAGCTCTGTGTGAGTAACAGGAAGATAATGAGCTGGACGGACTGATAGAAAGACTGTAATGGAAAACTTGCATATGAACTTTGCTTGAACTCTTTCATATATCTAATCAATGTTTGTGTGCTGTGTTTAACAATAGCTCCTTATATAGAAACACAATTTTGCAAAACTGCCTGGCGTACGTGCAGACGGACGATTCGAAACTAGACAGACACCTTTTACTTTTTTACCCTTAACTATCAAATGCCCTGACTGTTGCTATGCACTTGGCAGATGTGACCTCAGAGCAAGGTTATTTTCATTAGTTTTTTATTTATTTATTTATTTAGTTTTTCAGGTGCTTTTTTATTTCAGTTTATTTTCAGTTAGTTCAACAAGTGATTTTGTAGTTTTAGTTTTTATTTTGAGGAATCGACTGGTTTCAGTTTAGTTTAGTTTTTATAGTTCATTGAAGTTTTCGTTTTTTTTGTAATTGTCATTTTTATTTTTATTTCAGTTAACTAAATTATTTTTTCATTGCTAGTTTTAGTCTTAGTTTTCGTTAACTATAATAACGCTGCCTCAGAGTTCATGTCCTTTCTTGATGATGACCCCCATGTTGACCCCGATCTGTGCAGCTATAGCAAACTTCCTCTCTCATGCAGAAGCAAGATTAGACAGCTTCCTGTGTTAACCAGACTACAGTTGGCTTCTGCTTTCATGCTATTACTCAGAAACAGTTGTCACTTATGTTTCCTATTTACCTGACTGTATAAAAACTTTCTTCTTTCGTTATTCGGGGTTGTTTCACTTTGAGCATTCATGCTGACTGTGCAACCCTCTGCAGAGCTTTCTATTAAATGACCTGAAGACAACTCCAGTCTGAGAAACTCTTTATTTCACATCTCAAGATAAATCTCCACCACAAGACACACACACACATTGAACAGGCTCAAGTGTCCCTATATATTATAATGATGACGTACACACATTTTATTGCGGACTATAGACATACACACTCGCACAGTTTCACTAAAACACTCACATAGTGACGCACCTCATACATGTACACGTTCACGCTCCCGTTAGAAACTGACTCAGCTGTAGTTACACATCAAGTTGCACGTCGCTCCCCCAACTTTCTCTCTGAGGTATTCAGTCATCCATGTGACACAGACACGTTTAGTTGTGTTTACAACTTGAATAACCATGCATCACTAGGATTATTCTACACTGAACCTTTAAGGGGAATGTTGGGCGTCAGGTTTTACACAACGTTTACATTGTGCAACATATTCACAGGAACTGCTCTCGCTATAAAAAAAAAAGTCATACAATCATCGGTTTTCGTTGTTCAGTTCTATAGTTTTTGCGTAATTCTGCAAACTAAAAAACGAGCAATACGTAAATGCGAGCTCCTTGGTGGTGGTCACTATGTTGAAGAAATGTCTGTCTGGACTTTTACTCATGTATCCTCAGAAAAGGCGAGAGTGAATTGTTACGTTAAGTTGACCTGTGAGTCACTTAGGAAAGTGATGCTTGGAGTTGATTAGGAAATTTGCAGATTATCATCATAAAAAAACACCCTGTGATTTGTCCTGTTCCTGTGAAAATGATCCAGTTGGTCTTTCACATCTTTATTCCTGAGAAGGTTCAGATTTTGCAACAGCAACCCTTCAAAGTTCACTGTAAACATTAACATGCACACACCTTGTGCACAGTGACACTCAGTAGAGCCCGACAGTCAATCAAGCTGCAGCAGATTTCACAATCATAGGTATCAGTCCCTTTGATTGATTCTCTTGATTTTTCAGAGAATCATTCATGAAATAATTAATAATAAAAATAATAATAATAATAATTCATGAAACAAACAAGAGAAAAAAGATGTGCATATGTTTGTTTAACTTTCTCTCTGAGGTCGTCAGTCGTCCACGTGACACAGACACGTTTAAAAGGAACCAGATGTGTTTATGTAAAGACATCAGTCAAGGATCCACAAAATAATTATAGTCATTAGCTGGAAACTGAGTTCATCAGAGCGATGCTGAGCTGTGTAATGCCGGGATGGTCATGTTTCGGGAAAACGAGGCCTTTGACTGACCTCAGACTTCCAGATCACACCAACGTGTTGACACTGATGGGAAGAGTCCAGCAGTGCAACGTACTTTATTGGTCTTTAACCCACTTTCTCCACCATTCCGCTGCCCACACACATGCCCACACACGTACACACATGGAGATTAAAAAACGTGACACAATGATGAACTTTTTATTTTGGTGATACAGTTCCATTCAGCAAACAGCTGTCGTCACCATTCTGTTCGTCTCATCTGCTATAAATAGGAAGTAAAAAGAAAAGAGAGTTAAATATTAAAGTTACTGAATGACTCGTTGTGCCACTTCATGTCAGTGAGGCAAGTTTGGGACTTTGTATTTTAACTTTGTCCACAGTCAAGGTGCTTGAAGGACCGACTGACTGATATCATGATCCAGACCATAGAGTGGACGTCAGACCAGCTTTTAATTTAATTCATTGAGTGACTCTTTTTTTATTGTTGGAGAAATTGCATCATGATGCAAAAAAACCCAACATTTTCATGGAGCTGTGTGTTCACACATTTGTTTTATTGTTAAGTTAATGTCAGGATTGGTTGCAATTCCATGCTTGTGGTTTTTTGTTACTTGGCCAATCGGTTTGTTTACCCAACGCTATGAACTGTGGGTAACTCCTAAAGTGTGCATGAAGGGCTCAGGAGGTCTGTGAGAGAGAGCGCTCGCACACTCAGTAATTTCACAGTGGGACAGATTTAGGATTATTCTCCTTTTAAACTAAATGTGAGTCACATGATGAACTCATGTGTTAGCTCCTCATTCCAACACTAGATGGCAGACATGAGTTATTTATATAAACACAGTTTCCTGTTCAGATTTCACAACCAGATGTATGTTTTTCTTGCTCAGGTCAAGATCTGGCCGCTCTTTTGCTGTTTAACTTTGAAATGATTGCCCTCCAGCGTCTATTGCCTACTTCCTGTCTTTGAGTCCGCCCCCATCATTAGTTAATAATTCTCCAGTTAATTTACAGCCTGTTTCCAGTCACCCGAACTTTACATGAGTTACCATGAGCACGTGTTCTTTTTTAAATCGTGTATTTCTGCCTGCTCTCTAAACAGAATAAACTCTGCCTGGACTTCTGCACTGAGATCATTTCGTTGTCTTTGCTTATCTCAACAGCCAGACCTGAGCTGATCTCCAAAACAGATGAAGATAACTGAAATAAAAAGCTTGTGCATTTAATTAAATGCTGGTTTATTATTCAAGTTGTGTTCTATGAGAACGCTACCATGGCGACACAGACACACCCACAAACCCTGTGTTGTCTTTATTCGGCCACATGGTGCTCTCAGGGATCAGTGTTTTACAAACCCTGGACTTATGTAACAGGCGTGCTGGTGATAAAAGCATTTAGAATTTCCCTTCCATTGATTTCTTGCTTACTTAGCAGCCAGTACTCAAGGAAGATTATTTATCTGAAAGATAAATGTTTCAGTGATTAATTGGTTTGCTTCCACTCAGCAGCTGCTCACAGCTCCCCTCACAACTTGGGCCTCTCGGTGTTGTTTTCATACGACTCTGCAAGGAAACAAAGTGCACAGAGGAGGCAAGGTTCAGAGCCGATCTGCGCTCTCACAGCGAGTCCAGCAGCTGTCTGCAGCTCAGTGCAACCCCTGCCGCCATGTTGGTTTCTATAATCCTCCTGTGCCTTTGTGTTTGGTTTATCGTCCTCCAACTGAAATCCCGGAGGCCCAAGAACTTTCCACCGGGACCCCCTGCTCTGCCCGTCCTGGGGAACCTTTTACACCTGAGCCTGGAGAATCCTCTGAAAGACTTTGAGAGGGTAAGAAAAACATTGAAATCAGTGACGTTGCTCTTTAAACCTCTTAAATTGTTGCATTAAATGCACATTATTACTACTTAAGCCACTGCTTTTCCTGCTTTATTAATAGAAATGCATAATATTAACAAGCAATTTTTTTCTATTGCTTCTTGCAAAACCGGAGTTAGAAATTGCTTCGCAAAATAAGATATATGACCAAAGATAAGAAAATCAAAGGAAAGCCAGATTATCCTCAGTAATGCAATAAAAGTAAACAGATAAAAGAACAAAATGGAAACAATAACGCTTCTTCTCTTGACTCACAACCAGGACTGTTTTTCATAGTGTTTTCATGCAGCAGATGCTTTCTGAGGGTAGGTGAAAGGTGAAAGCTTTGTGTAGCCCAACTGAAGCCTCCCTTTAAAGAAACAACGTGCTGGAGGATGAATGCCGCGTCTCGATCAATCATCTCCAGGTTTCTAGGAACGCTTGGTGCTGCTGATATAGATTTTTAATTGAAAAAGTAGCAGCTGGGCAGAAACATGACTGAACCAAAACTAACTGCATGGCTCTGAAACACTGTTTGGTTTGAGTTTTTGAGTTACAGTTTATTAAAATACGGAACAGGGCCTTTTCTATTTCTTAATAGTTTCCAGTTGTACGATGTAGTTTCTTCCTTATGCATATCCTATAGTTTTTACTTCCTGTCTTTGTCCTGTTTCTCGTTTCTGTGATTGTCTGCTCGGCCCTGATGTGTTTCCAGCTGTGTTCAATGAACTCTTGCTTCAGTCTCTGTGCTACTTAATTGGCTGTTTGTTCACTTTTGGTTCTGTTCAGTCTGACCTGGATTCATTCCGTCCTGTTGCCTGGTGTTTTTCTGTGTTCTTGGATTTCTTCTGCCTGCCAGGAATCTAGGTTTTTCCCGCCGTTCGGCCTTTAAGCCACATTTTCGTCCTTTAAATACTTCACTACACCTTCCTGTCTTAATGTGTCTCTGCGTTTGGGTTCTCCGATCCTATAACCGACAGTGCACGCTGTTTCCTTCATGACACACAGGTAAAGACTCTGAAAGCCAAATGTTACACTTGTAGATGTTCATTTTAAGTATGTGCGATAAAATGTCTTTGTTGGAACCATCTGTCGTCCTGGTTGTTATTTCTAACTTGGTCATTGTTGCTAGATTTACCTGTTGTAATATTTTTATACTATTTGTTAGCATTGTTATTGTGTGCTCTTTGTAAATGCTAGTGATTTCAATCTGTCATGTTTCTTTTATTCGTGAATGAGTTTGATGGGGTATGCCTGTGTTTTGCCATGTTCCACCACTGCACTAGCTTTTGTCACTATCAGTGAATTTCATGTTGTGTGTTACACGTGTATTTTAAACACTGACACGTCATCTTGTTCTGTGGCAGCTGAGGAAGACGTATGGAGACGTCTACAGCCTCTTCCTCGGCCCCAAACCTATGGTCATCCTCAACGGGCAGAAGGCGATAAAGGAGGCTCTGGTGACTAAGGCCGTAGATTTTGCTGGACGACCCGATGACCTGTTCATCAATGACATCGTCCGGAGGAGAGGTAGGAAACACATGATGTATGACAGAGAACGTCTGCTCCACCATAGCTCAGCTAATGTCACTTTTTATGCATGTCCACAAGTTTAATTCCACCAAGAGTCTCGGGCTGCTTAACTTTTCTGTGACAAAGTTTAAGAGTTAAATCCTGATTATTATTTTTTTTTTAGATTTTAATCCTGTACCTTTTTAATTAATCTGTTTGCTGGAGCCAGTTCTGAGCCTCTTGTGTCGAAGATCAACAAATGAAGGGCCTAGTTGTTCTTGATATAGGAGATAACATAATGTAGGTGTTAACACCAAAGAGTTTTCAATTGAATGTGGTGTTCATAAGGTCAGACTTAAAGGTAGAGACATTACTTTTCTCAGTTCATCTTGGACTCTAACAGGCTGCATAAAAAATATATAGAAATTTAAATCAGAAGAAACTTGGAGGAAAAAAAAAGTTTTATTTCAATGTACAAGAGGTGCAAATTGACGGGAGTGTCTATTGACACTTCGCCCCCTCGTGATGTTATCATGATAGAAAGTGGGTGAGGCTGAGTTTAACATAGAAAACGTTCTTCTGTATTCTTCTCTGTGCCTCTGTCGTAGGTATCATCCTGGCAAACTTCGGCTCCAGCTGGAGGGAACATCGTCGCTTTGCTCTGATGACTATGAGGAATTTCGGTCTGGGGAAGAATTCGATGGAAGACAGGATTCATGGAGAGATACAATGCACCGTGGAAACGCTGGAAAAAAGCATTGGTGTGTTATCTCTAATCCTGAGAGTTTTATGGTTTGACCATGCCCCCCCCCCCCCCCCCCCTAAGAATTCTAAACCGAGTTTGGTAGATTTGTTACAGCCGCAGCTCTTCTGGTATTAATCCCAACGTGAGGCTGCAGAGGGCGCTGTAGCTCAGTACAAGTTACACGGCGTTTTCATTTGTGTCTGCGCTCTTGTTTTCACCTTCTTATATTTTTACAATCTGATCGTTGTCTGCGTTTCTTACTGTGCTGTTGTAATTGTCTTTTTTCTCACTGTCGTTTACATCATGTCTTACAGGCAAAAGCATGAGTCCTGGAGTTCTCTTTTACAACATGGCCTCCAACATCATATGCCAGGTTCTGTTTGGAAAACGCTTCGAGTACGACGACAAGTTCATCAAAGTGATCGTTTGTAACTTTAGAGAAAATGCCAAGATAACCAACGGACCCTGGGCTATGGTGAGAGCTCTCTGTGTAATCAATCAGTCAGAGGTGAAGAAGCTGTTTGGAGAACAGACTGTAGATAAGGATGGACGACATGACAGTCATCGTCCCCTGGTGGCTGGCTGTAGTATAGCTAATAAACAGATGGCAGCATTTGTATGTGTTTTGCTTTTAACTTAATTTCCAGACGGTGAGAGGGTTTGTTTCAGGGTCTGTGCTGTAGAGAGAGGTCACTTTGTTCAACACTGAGCTTTGAAACTCCACTGAGTCACTGCCTTTTTAGAAAAATCTGTAGGTCGTCAATACTCACAAAGGGTTATCTACAGCAGCACTTCTCCTCGCATTATAGAGAAATATCCAAGATTTAAAATCATCTGTTTTGAGTTTGAAGCAGAATCTGCACATTTGGAATCAAATTTTAACTAATGATTTTATTTTATTTTATTTTTTACAGCTGTACGACTCTTTTCCACTCATTCGGAACTTGCCGCTGCCGTTCAAAAAGGCCTTTGAAAATGTTGAGGTGTGTTGATTAGGCCTTGAAATGAAATCTCTACCTACACATCCATATATAGTAACAACCAATACAGACTGCTTTGGATCAGTGAACAATTTAAAATCATAATGTTGAAGTGAACGTACAACTTACATCTTATATTAATCAGGTTACCTTGGAATTTGGACATAAATTGGTGGCCGAGCACAAGAAAACCAGAGCTCCAGGAGAACCACGAGACTTAGTTGACTGCTATCTGGACCAACTGGATAAGGTGTGTGTGTGTGTGTGTGTGTGTGTGTGTGTACACTTGTTATATTTGATTTAAACAAATAGTTTTATTTGATAAGTGCTGGAACTTAAAGCAACACTATGTAACTTTTAGTAGAGCAACAGCGCCCTCTGTAGCCACATGTGGTTATTAAATCTGTTGGCTTCGTGTGCAAGTGATAAATTGGTTAATTAACACACCCTATCAAGAAAGTTGCTTTAACTTTTATATCACAACGTGAACTGACTCTTATCAGTTTGTGTGTGTGCATATCAGGTGTATTTGCATGTAATGTTGGTTTATCTTTAAAAAAAATCGCTCTTCTTTTCTAGAGAGCCGGGGATAGTTTTCCATTTTCAGAGGAGGAACTGGTTTCGATTTCTCTCGATCTTCACTTTGCTGGAACTGACACGACCTCCAACACCCTGCTCACTGGGCTCCTCTACCTCATGGCTTATCCACACATACAAGGTTCGTCTACATGTGCAAATGTGAGGATGTGATTCCGTCATCAGCTCTTGTCTTTCAGGAGAGAACAGAATAATTATTTTTATAGAATACATCAGACCTTTTGATATATATTTGTCTTCAAAAACACCTTGTTCAATAATCTGAGGTTCCCGGCAACAGTCAAAAGATGTTTTGTATCATCCTGCACTTTAATTCATGTTGATGCACTGCTGGACGTCCTTCAAATGTTGTGTTTTACAATATACATTGTTTTGTATTTAATATGAAGAATTTCTCTCTCAGAGCGTTGCCAGCAGGAGATAGACAAGGTGCTTGACGTGAAGCAACCGGCCATGTTTGATGACAGACATAACATGCCATACATGCAGGTATATGATCAGACACATTTCTCTTGTAATGATTCATCAATAACGTCACTTCTATTTGACGTGTGGGTCAGAGGCATATTTCTTAAAGGAGGAGACAGTCCACTGTCCACAAGATCCACTTTAACAAAACCTATTATGGTTTTAAGGATGTTGCTGACGGGTATCCATGTTACAAGTTTACTTTCTGTGTCTGATCGTCTTTCCCAAGTCAGACAAAGTGTAAAAACATGATGCTGTTTCCATCCAGGCTGTGATCCATGAAGTGCAGAGGATAGCCAACACTGTTCCGCTCAGCGTCTTCCACTCGACGACTAAAGACACAGAGCTCATGGGATACTCCATTCCCAGGGTCAGTGGCCAGTGGTTAAATTTTGTAGAGGAAACCCGACTGTGATTACAAAGATTAATCAGGGCAGGGTTAACCAAAATTGTGAATTACTTTTCTGCAAATTTACTAAGTTGCATGTTTGAACCAAATATAAAAACATAATAAAACGGTACTACTTCAGTAAATCTTATAAATACTGTCGTTAATCTCCTCAGGGTACGCTGATCATCCCTAACCTGGGCTCAGCACTGAAAGAGAAGGAACAATGGAAATTCCCTGATGAATTCAACCCAGAAAACTTCCTCAATGACCAGGGAGAGTTTGTCAAACCTGAGGCCTTCCTGCCTTTCTCTGCAGGTAAACCACAAACAAACATAAACATAGCAAATATAAACGTAATGGATCAAATTAATTTTGTTAGCTAAAAGTCGGGTAAACACTGTGGATAAAGTTTATTTGTTAACTAACGTCTCAGGTCCTCGTATGTGTCTGGGAGAGAATCTGGCTCGTATGGAGCTCTTCCTCATCTTGGTGACTCTGCTGAGGAAGTTCACGTTTGTCTGGCCTCAGGACGCAGGAGAGCCAGACTTGACTCCAGTCTATGGGGTCACCCTGTCTCCCAAACCTTACTGCATGAACGTCCAGCTCAGGGCAGCACAGTAGGAAGGTCTGCACACGGGAGGGATATGGATACAGAACAGTTTAAAAGGCTTTCTGCGCTGCTGCTGAGAGCACTTGACAACAGTGAAGTGACAAAAGAGCTTCTTCTGGTTGAGTGTCATCAGTTAGTGGTGTTTTGGAGAATTTGACTCAGCTGCCTTAAGGGGATAGAAAAGTTTCAACTGGAGTTTGGTTATCACAAAAAATGGAGAGACAAAATAAAAGCATCATGATTTTTGAAAAAAGAAGACATTTTAATGCAGCTGTGTGTTCATACTTTTTTCAATGTTATTCCATGCTTGTTGTTTTTTGTTCCGTTAGGTTTGTTTACCCAACACTATGAATTGTGGGTAACTCCTAAAGTGTGTATGAAGGGCTCAGGAGGTCTGTGAGAGAGAGAGAGAGCGCTCACACACTAAGTCATTTCACAGTGGGACAAAATATCAGAACATGATCTCAAATCAATTATCCCGTTATCTCTGGCAAATGAAGATTTGTTATCATGAGCTCACAGGTTAATTATCTCGTTATCATGAGATAACTGAAATGAACTTGTTATCATGTGAAAACTGATGAAATATAATGTATGATTCCAAGTCCGTTTAGGTATTCCATACATGCACGTCCCTCCCCCTCTGGTTAATTCAAGTCATGTTCTTTGAGAACTTTACCATGGCAACACAAACTGTTGGTGGTTGGAATGTACACAAGATAAAGTGTTTTACACATTGTGCCACAACATGTTGAAAAGAACAGAAACAAACACCCGAGTAAAATTGGTAATGACATTTTGCCTTGTGTGTCTTTTGAAAACTTAAAATATATCACTTATTTATTACACACGACTGAAAATGGTGAAAAGAGAACAAACGTGTTGACCTATGTTTACTTTTAGTCGATAAAGTTGTTTGTTCAATTTGCCAAAGAAAGGTGAAGGTAGGTCACAGTCTCCCTTTATCAAAAATATATCAATTAATTAATTCAACCATGAGTCTCTTCAAAAGGTTCATGGTTTAGAGTTAAATATGTTTTTTTTGTTTTGATAATTGTGTTAGATTTTAATCCTGTGCCTTTATTAACCTGTTTGCTGGAGCCAGTTCTGAGCCTCTTGTGTCAAAGATCCTAAAATCTAAAAAGATATTTGTATTTCAATGTACAACAAGAGGTAGAGACTGATGGGAGTGTCTATTAACACTCAGACCCCTCGTGATATTATCATGATTGAAAGAAGGTGAGGCTGAGTTTGTCATAGAAAACCCCATCTGTTGTTGTGAACCACAGGTAAATCAGATTAGTGTGCTCTGCACACTTGTGGCCTGAAAAGACACTGCAGCACTAAAAAATACAGTCCATGACACTGGTCTAACTATTTATGTATTTGAGGCTACACATGACAACACTCTTTGTCTCCTGCACAATTATATGTTGTAGGAGTTCATGTGTTCATTTTCTAACAGTTGGCTACTATTATAATCGATAAGATGTTTTATATATAGAAATAGCAGCAGCTGGATGATCCTGTCTGACTCTTCGTCCGCATGGAACTGAAAGCACAACTCAACCCAACTATTCCTTCAACTATTGAATGCAACAGTGACAAAGTTATTAGAAATTTACCCCAAACAGCAAAACTTCACAAGGCTGCTGCTGATGTTATTTTGATAGTGAATGAAGCAGAGTGGGAAATCACCACAGGGGGGCAGCAGACCTCAGGGCCAAGGTTCATCTGAACTGAGACTCTTTTTTTTACAGACGAGATAAGATGATACGACACAGACTGTATATCTTGATTTCATTTGCCTGACCTAGTTGATTAATAATTGCATTAAATGCATTTAGCTGACTTGTGGAGTTGATAGGGTGAAAATAAAATGCGATTTGGACAAAATTAAATTTTCTCCTTATGTCTCTTGTTCATGTTGATGGATACATTAGATGAAAAAAGAGAAAGAAAAACATACATTAGCTTGAGAGGGAAAACTGAAGCTACAAACAGAAATCACGATAGAATCAAGAGAAAAATTGAAAGTTGAATGAAATAAAAGTTGCTGTAATTTATGATCATTTATGATTAATTTGTTGGTAAAACTTTAAAGGAAATAAATCTCATGCACTGAAATAATATGAAATCATATAAACAGAGTATCATAATAGTTATTTTAGAATTGAATTGTGATGAAGATCATCAAGGTGAAATGAAGCAGAATCACTACAGTAAATATTCACCATTAAACAGTTCCCTGAGATGACCTGACTTGACAGATGGGAGAACTTTAAATGAGGTTGCAAACAGGTGACTGACCTCATGCAACTAGTGTAGACCACATGACCGTGCAAAGGTTGTGCAGGTCTGTAACATAAAAGGCAGAATCTCAAGGAAAGAGTAAATCATTCAGAATCCCAACTTCAATATGTTTGCGTCTGTGGCTTTACTCTTCTTGGTCCTTCTGCTCTTCCTGCTCCTCTTTCAGAACTTCAGGGCTAAAGGTTTCCCTCCGGGACCCCGGGCCATTCCTGTCTTTGGGAACTTGCTGCAGCTCAACCTGGAGAGTCCCATTGCAGATCTGGAGAAGGTACAGTTAAAATAAATGTGTGTTGTATCTATAAACTGAATTCTTGGTCTGAATTGTGAATGCCTGGATGGTCTCAGTTTTTTTCTTCAGTCTTCTGTACTCAGGAGTACTCTTGCAAAAATATTCCCTATGAGAGTCAACAACCTGCATATGATTCAATTAAAAAGGAATCGCATGTGTATTGTTTGTTCGGCTGAGTGGGATCAACCGGGCCATTCAAAGTGCTTTACATAAAATATAAAAGGCATCATGACATTTTTTTTTAAAAGCAACATAGGACAATACAAAGTTAAATACAGAGTCAGAATAAACTCATGAATAAAACTGAATAAAACTCTCTCTCCCTGCAGCTGGCCAAACGCTATGGAAACATCTACAGCATTTTCATTGGCTCCAGACCAATGGTGGTAATCAATGGGCTCCAGGCCATGAAAGAAGCTTTGGTCAACAAAGCTGGCGACTTCTCAGGTCGACCGCAAGACCTAATGGTCAATCATGCCGTTCGAATGAAAGGTACATCTGACTTTGTTTCTGCTCCTCTTGTCTTTTAATACATTAAATATCATTAAATCAAGCAGCAGGAATAGACGGTGTAGATATTATTATTATTATTAAACATATTTATGTTACACATTTAAGAAGCCTGTATAATCTGGACTATAATTTCATGTAGCATACTATTTTCCAGTTTACAACAAGGACAACATGATTAAATGTATGATAAACTTGATATAATAAAATATCTTTGCTGTCTATATAATGTCAATTACTGTATTTTTTCTTGATCATTCCCAGTGTTGGGTCTTTGACTGCAACTCTCCAGTGCCCTTTTAGTTTCCAACCAGATTTCTCAATCAGCTAAAGACTTCTTCTACCTGAGAATATCGTTTATAAAGGGAATTAAAAGGCCAAAGACACCAAATATCAGAGACAGATACCATGAAGAGGAAACAAGAGGAGAAATCAATACTTGAACAGTGCAAAGATGATAAAACAGGAGTGATGTGATCAGTTCTGTGCAGGTTGGAGTTAATCAATAGATTTCTGGTTCAGGCAGATTATAAAAAAAACCTCTGTGATAATCTGGACATGGTGATATAAATGTTTGTTGTGTTCTAAATCAATCGTTTGTGTCGGCAGATCACGCTCCAGGAGTGATTCTGGCAGATTACAGCCCGAACTGGAGAGAGCAGCGACGCTTTGGTCTGATGACCCTGAGAAACTTTGGTCTGGGCAAACAGTCCATGGAGCAGAGGATTCTGGGAGAGATTCGCCACATTACGAAGGTTATGGAGGACAGTATCGGTATGTCTGCTTTTCAAATAGGACACAGGGATTGTCTGGTTAAACATTTACAGTCAGTATAACAATAAGATCTAACAAAGGGCCTTTTGAACACAGATATTAAAACCAGAATATCAATATATATTTTTATTCTTCTCTCACATCGTCATCAAGGTTTAGAACATTAGTTTCTCCTCCTTCGTCAAGGTCACGTACAAACATCGTGTGTTGTTTCTCTAGGTACGATCATGAGTCCTCAGATGCTGTTCCACAACGCAGCCTCCAACATCATCTGCCAAGTTCTGTTCGCCAAACAGTTCGACTACGACGACGACTTTATGAAGTATTTCGTTACGGTTTTTCACGAGACGTCCAAAATCATCAACGGGTTCTGGGGTATGGTGAGTTACTTTAAACAAAGTCACTCAGTGACATATCGTGTGGACCAAAGGTCTGTGCAAGAATAAAAAAACAAACCACAAGGAGAAGAAATCAAATAATAAGATAGTAGAGGCTGAAACTCAATAAAACCAATCTTTTTCTTTTTCCTATGCAGATTTATGACTCTATTCCCATGGTGCGCAGCCTGCCGCTGCCCTTCCAGAGAGCTTTTGAGTTGTTCAAGGTACGTTTTTAAAATAATATTAATCAGCGTTTAATTGCAAAGACAATGTGGCCTAAATTCACATTTTATATAAATCGCCCTGCTCAATGAAATTCAATTAAAGGGAAAAGGAAAATAGACATAAAGGGCTTTAGTTTCTCAAACACTCTTACACGATGTGGTTTATTCATAATTTATCCCTTTGTGAAATGTGTGGTCGCCACAGAAGGCTTTGTAAAACTGCTGCTGTCCTGTAAACTTTAAAACATGATGACCGCCTGCATGTGTCTTCTGCTCTTTTTTTCCCAGGGTGCTCGAGAGAGACATTTACAGATGATGACTGAGAAAAAAAAGACTTGGGTTCCTGGTAAACCGCGACATTTCATTGACTGCTACCTGGATGAACTGCACAAGGTGTGAGTCTCTCTCTCTTTTACCATGAGGCCTGCGTCCGCCTGCATATTAATGATGGAGGAGTTTATTCTCTCTGTTCCTCTATCTGAAGAGAGGAGAGGATGGCTCGTCATTTTCTGAGGACCAGCTCTGTGCGCTCCTCTTGGATCTTCACTTCGCTGGAACTGACACGACGGCCAACACCCTGCTGGCTGCCTTCCTGTACCTCATGAATTACCCACACACACAGGGTATTTATCTTCTGTCTGTTGTAGCCACACTGAAGGTGACGTTAGCATTAGCTCCGTAGACTGTACGACATGATAGCTCCCTAAAAGTAGAGCCAATAAAGCCCCCTGGTGGCTGGCTGTGGCAGTGAAGATGATACCCCCCCCCCCTCAGATTGTCATGTAGCACATAAACTTGAACAAACTTGCATTGTTCTTTTCTTTCCATTTACTCTTTTCCTCCCTTCATCTGTGACGTGTCTGTCAGAGCGCTGTCAGCAGGAAATAGACAAAGTGTTGGACGGGAAGGACCAGGCCACTTTTGAGGACAGACACCAGATGCCCTATGTGCAGGTATAAAGCTCCATGGATCAATTACACCTCTATATTTTTATCTGATTTTCAATATATCACAAAGCTGTTAAGTACCATGTTCTGTCTCTGTCATGCAGGCTGTCATTCATGAGACCCAGAGGATGGCTAACACCGTTCCTCTCGCTGTTTTCCACAAGACCACTAAAGACACACAGTTAATGGGTTACTCTTTACCCAAGGTGAGTTCAAAATGTCATTTGTTCTATTACGAAGACACGTGGACATGAGCGTCCTGAATGAATCAAAGCATTTGGAGACACGGGGGAAAATAAACCAGTGATGAGAGTCATGTTTATTTAATTTGCAGAGGTGTCCGAATGTTTAGTGAAATGTGTTACACCCTATATAGTGCACTGATTGTTTCCCATAATGCGTCACGAAAAATAATGTTCAACCCATGGCCGCTAATTGAGCAATATATACCATCATGCATTGCGCTCGTTGCAGAGAGACGAGAGGAGCGAACAGGAACAGCCTAACCTAAAATATCAGTAAATATGAGCAGAGCAGCACAAACTGCGGCTAACAGGTTTATTTCTACATTTGAAGATGGTCATCGACAAGACGATGTACCAAGTAGCGTCCGAAAACCTTTTTCTCTTCTTCTGATGACCTCACTATATAGTGCTCTCTTGATTTTGGAAACAGCCGTTATCTCGAGACCTTAGAATTATAGAGAAACACAGAAGTTCCCACAATGAGAAGCACGACTGAGGAGATGTGGGCGGATTAATATACTTTTTGTTCTCCAGGGAACCATCGTCATCCCCAACCTGTCCTCGGTGCTGTTCGAGGAGGGACAGTGGAAATCCCCCCATGAATTTAACCCTGACAACTTCCTCAACGACCAGGGAGAGTTTTTTAAACCTGAAGCCTTCATGCCTTTCTCTACAGGTGAGTGACATCAGTATGATTTTCACAGATACACAGACCTGACACAGATGGAGACAGGCCAGGCGTAATGTTTGCGTTGTGGATATTCTAACAGGTCCTCGGGTGTGTCTCGGAGAGGCTCTGGCTCGTATGGAGCTGTTTCTCATTGTGGTGACTCTGCTGAGGAAGTTTACGTTCATCTGGCCCGAAGACGCAGGAGAGCCAGACTTCACGCCCGTTTTTGGGACGACTCAGACCCCTAAACCGTTTCGCATGAAGGTCCAACTCAGAAGAACCGACACAACAAATCTAAACCACACGTTATCCTAATACTGTAAACTACTGAAGCACATAAAACACATTTTAGTTTATTGAAGTTCTATGTCATTCTGAATTATGTGCAAACTAAATGATGAGAAAATTAAGTGTAAACCTTTGTTTAATGCATATGACGTATGTATAGTAAGAGTATTTGTACAGCACGTTTCAACATCAAGGTAATTCAATGTTCTTTTCATAAGTTGTGACAAATAAAACATAAATAAAATTGTCATTCAAAGTTAAAATGATCCACATCTGCTGTCACTAACTAATTGTGTTTGTGATGTTCACATTATTGGGGACTCACACCCCCCAGTGTCCAAAACGAGCAAAACACACACCCACACACACACACACACACACACACACACACACACACACACACACACACACACAAATGAAGACCATCAGTCAGTGCAGTTGTTGTGGTATTAACAGTATTTCCACCCTAAGACATGTATGATCTTTTCTATACGAGCACACTGAACCCTGCTCATCTGAACCAGCAGCCTTTTGATGGTTGCACACTGGTGTTTTATTAAAGCCTTTGTGTTGCTTTGTTTTACTGGGCGGTCTCTTTCGATTGTGAGCAGGAGGCCACGGAGCGGAGGGGGAGCAGGGGTGTCAGGGTCGGGCTTGAATGGCGTACGTGTGCTGACATGGACCTTCTGTGATGACAGTCAGCTGGATGAGCGGTGTGGCAGCACAGACAGAGGAGAGCAAAGAGAAACCAAACGGACAGATCACAGGAGGATTTATTCAAACCGACAAAGTCTGCGAAGAAAAAAACAACAGAAGAAATCAAAGACAAAGAGGCGATTGTGTCATCGAGGACAAACAGAGACTGAGATGGAATCCAAGAGACAAAGACAAACTTGGGATTATCAGTAACAGATCATCAGAAGTGGAGTTTATCATGGAGTAGTCTGGGATTTGGCACACGCACGCACACAAACACACACACACACACACACACGTTTCAGGTTTCCTGTTGTTAACATCTTGGCAGTGGACAGGTGTCAGTATGCAGGAGTCTCCAGGGGCCATGGGTGTAGACGGCAGCTACGCCAGCAACGTCCCAGCTTTTCTGACCAAACTGTGGACGCTGGTGGAGGATCCAGACACCAACCACCTGATCTGCTGGAGCGCTGTGAGTCACAACACACTGTGCATACACAGCGTTACACACCGACACGTTCACCAATGAGTCAATGTACAAACAAATCAAAAAGTAACTGAGACTTGACACGGAGAAACTGTTTGGTATCTTTCAACATCAAGAAGATTTTCCATATTTTCATGAAATGACACTTTTTCTCATTAGATCAAAAATAAATTGCAACCAGACGAGAAACCTCATGAGGATAAGAGACTTAAACAAATGACAATAGTAATGGATGCAAACTTAAAAGTATATTAATATAGGTATAGTAATTAATCCTATTAATTATATTTAAATAATATGACTTGGAGACACAGAAGCTCGTTTTGTTCTGATATATTTACTCAATATGGAGGTTGTATGCACGTGAGGCCTGAGGAGCCTGTGAAGACTATAGATGGATTCAGACTGATTGATTAATTGATTAATTGAGGTTGTCACAGAAAGAAGAATCCTAATATTTCAGTGTCTTCTATCTATTTGCATTTCACCTAATTTAAAGTGATGGTAGCAGGATCTTTAAGTAATTCCACTGTCTGACAGGAGCTGAGCTGTAGTTCACCCAGGGTGTCACTGTTTTCATTTAGATTAATAACTAGCTGCCTTTCTCAGAGGGGTTAAACTACAGACCTCAACATCTGAGGACCGCAGGTCGGCTTTAGTGCAGATGGAGGATGTGAAGAACAGAAATGCTGATGTAAAAATACTTCAGCTTATCTGCAAGTGGAGGGTTTATAAAAAGTATCGTGGGTTCATTCGCTTCAGAATCTGTCTATGAACCCAACTTTTTGCTTTTATGTTGTGTGAGGGATCTATTGACATCATGTGGCTCCTCTGTTAAAGTACAAAGCTTATTGTTGGCGCTTTCCTTTTGACCTTTGACCCCGGACACTGGGCTGAAAGTAAAACGTGAAGGTGACGCTTCATTAGTAAAGTGTTAGAGGACACACAGCCCCTCTGCTCTAGTTTGAAAAGAAACAAACAGATGCTGTCCAATCCCACGAGCGCAGCATCAGCTGTCGCATCGTCACCAAACACGAAGTAAAAACACTTTGTCTAAAGTGAAGTTATACATTTGGCAACGGTTTTATTTTCGATATAATTCAAAAAGCTTCTATAACCTTTGTCAGAGCAAAACAGAGCGACGGAGGTTGACTGGGTGAGAGAGCATGACTCATCACTCAGAGAGAGAGAGAGAGAGAGAGAGAGAGAGTTTGATTGTCTGACTGAGCTGATATATCTGCTGATGCAAAGATGTTAAACTATGTGGGAAACATAAATCACCTCCATGCAAACATCCTGTCATCACTCACGTTACATAATTCCACCTACAGTTGTGTTGTCGACTCATCAAAACTTATAGATGATCAGCGACTCTGGCTCTGATTTAAATTTTAACAGCAACTAAACTCATTTTTCTTGAATCCTCTCATACTAGTAAAACATTGGAGACGTTTTTCTGTTTTTAGAAGTTTCTTCAAACACGGTCATCTGTAATCTGTAGGTTCAACCGTCCAATAATTCCTTTTATATCTTCGTTAACATTATTATCACGTCAGCGGCGTGTATTGGATACTCCCAGAAGTTTGATCCCAGCATATTGAAACTCAAAGTGTAGCTGGGGGACTTCACACGGTTTCTTCATTTTGACATATTTTGCAGTATTTTCATTCATGTGTCATTTTTTCATTTTCATTTTGAAATACTGACAAGGTAGCTTGACTTTAAATTCTGTACTTTACTTTAAGTTTGATATGCTTTACAGGATGACCCCAGTGGTCAACCGTGTTAGCAGATATATTTTTTCAGTGAATAGAAATAATAAAATATGCTGCGTCCAGACTGAGTTTGTGTTTCAGACGAGGACTGAACTTTACTTAGCCCCTAAACAAATAAAATCCAGACAATTAAAGTTACTATTTTGACTGTAAATGTAAATTTGAATTAAGATAATTTGTCCAGCATTTACATTCTGCTCTGTTCAGACTCAGTGAGACATGATGGAAACTAACTCTCCCCCTCCGACTCTGGTCTCTGTTTCAGACCGGGACCAGTTTTCATGTGTTTGATCAGGGACGTTTTGCCAAGGAAGTTCTGCCCAAATACTTCAAACACAACAACATGGCGAGCTTCGTTCGACAGCTCAACATGTGTGAGTACTCCTCTCCTCTCCTCTCCTCTCCTCTCCTCTCCTCTCCTCTCCTCTCCTCTCCTC